TGCATGAATAACGATTATTATTATTATTATTATTATTATTTTTTTTCAAAAAAAAAAAAAAAAAAAATTTATATGTAGATATATTCTTAGATAAATATAGATCGAAAGTTTATTAAACCTAGTTTGACTAATTTGAATAATAAAATGTAAGTGTTAGAGCCTAAATGCATTCAATATGCTGATTGACAACATTCGCATATGATATGAACCCTATCGCATAACTTTATCAACGAAACATTGATTTTTCACGAGTTTCAGAATTATTGATCAAGTCTTTGAACAGGTTTTCATAATATTTTGAAAGAAACCTTGATCTTTGTATTCTTAAAAAGAATTACTGAAACTATTTCGAAATTAAAATCTTTAAATAGATCAGATAGGAAGAATACAGGTCCTAATTTGTCAATGTCATAAGAAAGATCACGCGGTTAAAACGATAACAACCAAATAAAAAATTTCAAATACGGTTTTATTATATTAAAGAAAGGAAATTTTTATGCGCGTACCTAATTTGATAAAAAAAAAAAAAAAAGATTTTGATAAAGATTTTTGATAAAGATTTTTGATAAAGGTATCAATCATTTTTTATATTGTACCTTTCTTCTCCTTTAGTTTAAAAGAAGTAAATTTTAAATATATAATTGGTGTAACTTTATAACTTTACTTTTTCCTTTGTTATGCTGTAATGTATGCGTACTCTATTCAATGTTATAAGTATCACCAGTTTCACCAGCGTCATTAGTGTCATCAGTGTCACTAAACTCTAAAGATATCCACAAATCATTTAATACAGGAGAAACATGTAACGTTAATCCGCTGACACTAATTAATGACGATGTTACAGATTTTCCATAAAGTTAAATTTTTTAGAATATAGAAAAAAAAAAGAATTCTCGAATTCTTAAAGAAAACTTTAACAAGATTAAATCAAGAAAATATCGGTTTTAAGCGAGTGGCAAAAACAAATGTACTACATCTTTACCTATTTTTTTTTATTATATTTGATATATATGATTAATAAATTAAAACAGCAATATTTAACAAAAGTCGAGTTTTTCCGCGTCTCTTCCCCTAAGTACTTACATGTATGTAATGTACGAATAATTATGAAAGTAATACATTGCAACCTAGTTATTTTTTATGACAATATTATTCTTAATAAATGATGATGCACTCATTATAAAATGAAAATGTGATGAAAAGTTATCACCGAAAATTAATAATAAATTTTTCAAAAATAAAGTTTTATTTTATATATATAACATTTTATTCCCTGTTTTGTTAACATAAAAAATGTTCTAGTTCTATTTTTTTTGTTTTTTTTGTTACGCACAAATTATTTCTCGTATTACGTTGAAATTTCCACGAGTCCCGCGGTATTTTACAAAAAAAAAAAAATACCAACACAAAATCAAAACAAAAAACATTAAATGCAATTATGTTTAGATTTTTTAGCTAATCAGCAAACTAAGCCTTACCAAATGAATACACGAAAAATTTATTATATTAGTGGATTAAATTTATCAGATTTATATCAGTAATAAATATTTTTTATAAATATTTGTATTAAAATAATATATATGTATATGTATAGTATATCAGATATGTATAAGTCAGACGCAAGTATATCTGATATACAAACGCGGTGATTTATTATTTTTTATGTATAATGTAGATTATTCATGAACACCAATATAAACATATAAATTTTTTTTTTTTTTTTTTTGAAAAAAAATAATAATAATAATAATAATAATAATCGTTATTCATGCAACAAAAGTTTCACGTATTAAAATAACGTAGTACATGCAGTAAGTAATGAAATCCCCGGTCATATCGCCCACAATGTACAATATATTTATAATAGATAGGCCTGCATTATTTGTTTAAAGTGTGGCGGTTTTCGTTAACTGTTAAATAATTTGTTAACTAATAATACAACTAAAAATAACTAAAAATAACTATAAAAAAATTATTTATAATAATTACTAATAATAATAATAAATATATATAATAACCAATAATAACTATAACTATTAATAATAATTTGTAATATACAACAATAACACGAAACAACAATAATAACGATAAATTATCGTTATAATAACGATAATTAAATTATCGTTATTATAATAATAATAATAATAATAATAATACCAAAAAAATTGTATGTTTACTTACTTATTATTATTATTATTGCGAATTATTTTTTTTGATAGACTTTTTTGTGTCTGCATGTATTATAATCATATTGTAAAAAAAATAAATCCTATGCGAGAGAAATATGTGAGAACATCAACTTCAACTTGGAAGTAAGTGAAAAAAAATATATATACATATATTATGTGATAAAAAAATCAATTTAGAAGTTCTATTTCTAAATTAAATTTAATTGCATAATAATTTCCAATCATATGCAGACACAAAAAAAAAAGTCAGCTGAAATATTAAATTTTTTTATTATAATTATTATTATATAACCCAAAAAATTGATGAATAATCGATTTAGATAATATTTATAATTAATAAATTTAATTAAATAATCTAATATCTGTATCTGTTCGTTGTATGGATAAACGAAATTAATCTTGAAAAAAAAAAAAAAAAAAAACTTTTTGTGTAATACTTTTTGTGTAATCTATAAAATGTTAAGTTGTTTATTATTTTTAGTTTGTTGTTTGACCCACTTTATTGATAATAAACAAATTATTTAATAAACAAAAAAATTATGTGATTGGAGAAAAATTGGGTAATTGATCATCCACTTGGCAAAAAGAAATTTTAAGAAATTATTTCGGATTTTCGCTTATTACATTGATTACGTTACTTAAAAAAAATTTCTTAAACAGTTGAACCTTTTTATTAACACAATTACGGAACGCCATAGTGTGTCACCCGTCAAATTGTTTATCAATTCCCTGATTTATTATTAAAGGGGTTAGTGTTACAATAAACAAATTTAAAACTCTCTTAATCATTATAGATATATGGATATCTAGTTATACACTAATAGGATACACTAGGATACAAAGGAGGGAATGTAACTAGCAAAAGAAGGGGATGATTTGTTAAGGCGTTTAGTATAAACAAAAAAATAAAATGTTTTAGGCCATCCGATACAATTAGCAACGAGAGATTATTGTACAAAAAGTATCGAATGATGTTCTATCTCATAATAATAATTACAATAAACGTAAATATAAACGATAATAATATAAACGATAAATATAAACGATAATAATATAAATGATAAATATAAACGATAATAAGTTTAATATAAACGCTAATGTAAACGCTAATATAAACTCTAATTACAGGTAATAAGTAATAGTTATTATACTTTTGTTATAAACTCTAATAAACTCTATAATTATTGCCAAAGTTAATTTTGTCTTATAGCTTATTATGAATTCTAGCTAGCCATAGTGGATAAAGTGCGCTTTTTTTTTTTAATATGTGTTATATGCCCAAAGTATGATCTGTTTATTGATAAATGTTTGGTTCTCATAGACATAAAACCCACTTATGGATAAAATGATAATGGGGGTTATAGATCATAAAAAAAAATGCTGGCGGTAAGGGGTAATTAAAATTATACGTAAGTACTGCTATTTTGCTATTTGATATACGCATTCGTTGATAGCGTACTACTGGTGGTCAAACCAAGCAAAGCGGTAGTCAAAAATAAACAGAATAATGTATGTGAGCAAATGCTACGTAGATTATTTGGTTCATTTATTTACCGTACTTTTCTGTTTATAATTTCTTGATTATTATTATTTGTTTGTCTCCAATTTGAATAAAAAATTCTGCAGTACTCCTGCGGTAATGTCTATCGGATCGCGGCAAAGGATCGTGGGCGCTTTTCCTTTTCATAAAAAAAAATAAAAATTATTATTATTATTATTATATTATAATATTTACGCTTACCATGTCAGTTAACGTGCATCCAAAAGTAAATATATTCTAATTATTTTTAAATGAACTGCAAGCAGTGCAACCCATAACTTTTTTTTAAATATTTGCAAAAAAAATTTTAAAACATCGTATCACCTTTTCTATTTGTTCTCGTTTTTTTTTTTTTTTTTATTTGTTATCGTTATTGCTTCCCGCCCTCAACCAAATGTAGTCATATCCACGAAAGAATTCCATCCGCTTCTCTGAGATTATTCTTGTGATAAAAAAAATTTTTTTTTTTTTTCTTTCTTCCAATTATGGATTCCAACTTTTTACTTGTATATGATATTGATATCGGGTATATGTTTGTATGACAAACTAAATGAATCAATAATATTTATTTATATGATGCATCTATCAAATCACACATCAGTTTTTATCAGACAAGTTTCTCAACTCGTTTCTGACTTTAAATCAAAAGCTTATATCATGTGAACAATATATCATCATAAAAGTTTATCATGACTAATATCAGGAAATTAAAAATGGATCTACCCCTTGAATGGTTTTAAAATGTGATTAGTAAACATCAAATGAATAAAGCGAACGAGTTAAAGAAAGGCACTAATTGTTTATATTTACTACAAATTTACCATTCTTTATCATTTCTTTTATAATTACTTTTATCGTTTCTTTATCAATTTTTTAATCATTTTCTTTATCATCATTTTCCTTTATCATTTTAGCTTTTATCATCTTTTTTTATCATCTTTTCTTTTATCAGTTTGAATGACATAATGAAATTTACCAAAACGTCTAAAAAAAAAAAAAATACTTTTGAAAAAATTTTTGTGGAGAAAATTAATAATTGGTTGATGAACCGCCAATGGTAATACAAAAGTTATTATTTTATTATGTGACTTTTGTGAATTGTATACAATCCAATTCTGGGGTTGTACCATTTTATAAAACCTGTCATTCTGTAAAAAGATAAAGTTTCGGTATCGGTATCAAACAATTACGTTGTGCAATATAATTACATACATTCGGTAGAAAAAAAAGTAAAAAAACAAATATACTGTACATTTTATTTATTTTATTAATGATTTATAATAGTATTACTTTTTGTACTTTATTACTTGTTTTTCACCCTACCCTAGAATAATGAGAATCATTGTCTTAGCGTTAGCAAAAAAAAAAAAAAATTTTTAATACAAACAAAAATAAAATAGTACGATGATGCTTTACGTGATCACCCCTTGAATGTTAGAATGTGCCATCTTGTAACCTCCAATTATCCCCTTTGTTTGGATGTCTCAGATAAAGTTTATATATTATAGATGATGAAAAAAAAATATGATTAACCAATGATTTTAAACTTATTTATCGAAAAAAAAGCATTGATCTTCATTTTCTTCTAAAAGAAAAAAGAAATTCCAAGATATTTTGTGTTCTTTTTGATCACCTGTTTTTTTTAAAAAAAAAAAAACCAGTATTTTAATTAATTAATAATCAACTACTGAACTAGTTTAAAAACTAGATACCGGTATCTATTTTTCAAAGGATTTGGAATTTTGGTACTTGTTTACCTAAATATCTTCTAGTGTTCCTCATGTTTTTTTTTTTTTTTTTTTAAAAAAAAAAAAAAAACCTGTTTCGATTTTTTTTTTTGATGACATATGACATTGAAACCACAATTAGTTTAGCCAAATCGTTCTCCCACCGAATAATCGAGTAGATCTTAATCATTGGTGAACATTCTATTATACGAAGCATATATATTTGGTGAGGGATCTGTATTCCTATTTTAGATATATGACTCTTCGTGCAACCTTTACGCGACTCGCGAACCATTTGTCACCGGACTTTTAAATTTTCCTGATTTAGTTATTTCAATCAGACTACTCCGACCCAATCTAATGTTTAAAATTTTTAATGTATTCTATGTATCAATTGCAGAATTGTTAAAGTTTTTTTTTTTTTTTTTTAAAAAAAAAAAAAATAACCGGACATATTGTTAATAATATTGCAGTATTTGCAGTATTTGTTATCTTATTTTATCTAATATCTGATATAGATGACAGGTCTGACAGGATTATGTTAAAATTTGTTTATTAAAGAATTTTATTAGAACGCATGACGTATAATCTCGAACTTCCTTTAACCCTTCTTTTGCATTTAACTAATTAAAATTAAAAACACGAGTAAAAATCATCAATTCTGTATTAGCATCGTTTTTAAGGTCACATATGTCTCACATTTTATACATTCACTATGCGCGTGGCCCTTGCGTTCCTTGCTTTAAAGTTACCCTACACGTACTTTGTTATTGATTCGTCCTTATGTGTACTCGGGAACTTTTGGCGTCGTCCCGATAAATCTATACTTATACAAATACTAATATAGTATTTATTATTCATTCAAATATTTTCGGTTTGAGAGCATATATTAACTTTTATTGTAATTGATTAACCTTTCCTTATCGAAATCTGGAAAACCTCAATGAAGATGATTAGTCAGTTTTTTCTTTGTGTGTTCTTATCAAAAAAAAACTTTTTTTTTTTTTTTTTATTCTTTTGCCCTCTTCTCTCGATCAAGGTATCTTTTAATTATTTCTAGTGAAACCGCCAACTACGATTATATCCCAAAGGTTTCATTTAATAATTTAATTGTGTATAATATAAATAATTTAAATGTTTGAACTTTATTTTCTGGTTTCTGTCGAATCAATCAATCAATTAATAATAAAATCAAATATAATAAATGATAGATAAATAATAAATAGTAAATATTGTAAATATAATATAATATCTTATAATTATAATAATAATAATTAAAATATAATAATAAAAATATGATGAAGATTGATGATATAATAAATTTCAAATCAATCAATCAACAATATATATTTCATAATTTAATTGATTTTTTTGATTTACTATTACTTTCACCAATAAAATACTAGATCATTTAAAAATTTTCAAGTAAAAAGATGACCTCCCGTCTAATCCATTTCAAGGCAAGAGAGTCTCGAAGAATGACTGGTGCAGAATGCATACATGCAGATTGGCAAAAATGTATCAAAAGAAAGAAAAAAAAAAAAAAAATCAATATAAACAATATGCAATTAAATATACACAATTTTAATTTATGCCACCCCCCAACAGCATAATGCAGGATACCCTTGCGTATTAAACGAATTAATTTATTTTTATTATTATTATTTTTTTTTTTCATGGATTCGAACTAGTACTGAAGGAAATAATAAACATTTTAATAACTAAAATAAGATTATTTATTCTAATATAATATTTTAATTAAACAAGTTTTTAAGTTGTAATTCTTTTTCTTTTTCGCCAAGAAATAACTTTAAAAAGATCATAAAAAAAAAAAAAAAATCCAAAATAATAATAATAATAATAATTGTTATTAAAAAAATTCATATTTGGATCCATCTCTTTTTTTGTATTAGTCAAATAAAAAAAATCTTTATTTTTAATAAATAATCGTGTTAATAAAATTTTTTTTTTATGTATCAATGTTTCTAATAATGGTTAGTACCTGAATTAGGAAAAAAAACGTCCGATTTATACATCATTTTTGTATGTCTTTATATTATATATATATATATATATATATATATATATATATATATCAGATATATATCGATATATTATATATATATATATACGTATAACATGTAATTTATTTGTTGATGTTAATGTATGCAATGTAAAAATATTAAAAAAAAAAAAGGTTATATGTGTGATGTTTTAAAGTTGAGTTTGACAATGTAATATTGATATTAATCTTCCTTCGGACTTTTTGTTCTTTTGATCAAACAAAAAAAAAAAAAAAAGCAACATAATAACATTAATATTTCTGACCTATTTCGGGTTATAAACTATTACTTAAATAACAAAAAGCTGCTTGATTGCTTTGATAAATAATAATGTATGTTACTGTAAATGTGTATATGCAATGATATCATTTTTTTATAATTTTGGGTAATGAATTTATGCTGGAACACATAAATAACAAGTTCTGTCACTTGATTGGTATTAATTTGTCACGCCATCATCACATTATTATTATTAATTATTTCGTTAATTAATAAAAAAAAAATTTTTTAAGATTCTCTAAAGGAAATTTTAAATGAGATAATATTACATGTAAAGTTAAAAGAAAAAAAAAAAATTTAAGGTATGTTTAACGTGTCAATTATATTAAAGATAATTATGTAATGGTTGCAAACTATGCAAAGAGTTATTGATGCAACGAGATCATAATGTAAAATATGATCATTTTTATTACGAATGTTTTCAAAGATATCAAGATCATAAAAAACATTATTAACGAATAATGATACGTAATAAAAGATACGTAGTAAAATGTGACAAAAATATTGACAAATATTAAGAATTATTAAGAGAGTTAAGTTATGCGATCTGATATATAAATTAACAAGTCTAATAATTATTTGTATGTACATACATGCATTTTATATACATATGTTTACATATATATACCTCTTAAATCTCTCAAATGGAAATTAAAATTGACCTCGCGAATGGTAGTGGTAATAGAAACACAAAAATAGAAATTAGTTATTATATTACACGCACATCTATTTACAAATGATCCACCGAAAAAAAAATAGTTTATTGAACTAAAAAAAGAATTTGTAAAAAAAATTATCGAGAAGAATGTATTGAAATTTGGAAACAATATTTTAAAAATTTGAATTATTTTAAATGCTATTATTCTACAACGTGTGTATTTTAATAAATTGATTAATAAAGAAAATATTCAATAAAGTAATTCTAATGTGTATCAAAAAGAATATTCAAAATAAGTATTCTAAAAGAATATTCAAATGAGTATTCCAAAAGAATATTTTCAAATGAGTATTCTAAAAGTGTATCAAAAGGATATTCAAATCAAATTCAAATCAAAAAAATTCAAATTAAAAAAATTCAAATCAAAAATTCAAATCAAAATTCAAATCAATTAACTTGTTAACGTTTAATATTAAATTAATTATTATAATTATTATTAATTATTATAACGTTAATATAATATTAAGAATTATGCGAATTATGCTCTTGATCATTATACTTTTTAATCAGAGTTAAAGATGTACGACACGGTAATTTATTACGCATGTAAGCGGTAAATTGTTATGTACGCACAAATCAGTAATGTAATGAGTATCTTGGTTGTCACCTTCTTAATTGATGATAGTCGATGTTAATTTACTGTTTTTGAACATTGAACTCGCAGCAGGGTCTTATAATTTTCTTGCCAGATTTTAAGTGAATAATTGAGCATGGTTGATGTACTTAGCATATGAATCATTACATTCTATTACATTATATAATAGAACACGGAAATCTTTTTTCATTCTCTCCTCAATCCATAAATGTATTGATTGAGATGGTCAAAAGAAGATCTTGCATACTCCGATATTCAGATATACATCATTTGGCTGGCTGTAATGCGTATGTAACTGTTATAAAGATTTAACTGACATGGGCTAAAAAAATCTTGTTTTTTAACCAGATGGATTTACAACAGACATACCCGTACCAAACAATTCAAACACAATGGGACATTCTTTTCGCTCTATTTTTTTCTCTCTCATTATACAAAGACAAACAAGAAAAAAAAACCAAACCTAAATTATCAATAATCTCTGCAAATCGTCCCTATCAAGACGCCATATATAACTTACATAATGAAACCAATATATAACACATCCCGTGATGGCAAAACTTATCAACAATATACCTCATTTTCACAAGAAATTCTAACCATCTAAATAATTCGGTTAGGCAATTTTACAATTTTTTTTTATCAGGATGTTCTACACGGACTATTACAAAATTTTACAAAATTGAAAAATCGAAAGCGGTCATTTTAGAAACAATGTATTTTGATTCGTCATTGTCAAATCACCGGGATTTCTTATATTAGTTTGGAATGGTGTTCGTTAGAAATCCACAAATAGTTTATAGGAGGTATTCAATCTCCGAATATCAATCAATTTATCTTTTTTAATAATATCTTTATAATATCTTTTAATATCTTTATTATCTTTGATAATTGTAGTTTATAATTACAAACTGAACGATGACTCGTGTCTCTTAACCTTTTTGTTCGTTCAAACAATTGTAGACACATAGCGCATACCATTTCGAGTTTGGTCATGTATTTTTTTTTGTATATTACTGTAGATATAAATGTTTATATGTGTTTATATTACGCAACAAGATGCAACTTCTGCAACCACAATAGATTCTCGATAGATATGCAGCTTTCTTTAGATGTTCAATAAACACCCCGCGACGGGTTTTGAAGTAAAAAAAAAATTTTTTTTTTGCCTTTTTATATATATACATAATAAACATACATATGTAAAATACAGTATAATTTTTTTAAATTGATTAATGTAAATGTGTGCGGTTCTTCTTTCAACAATCTACCATACATACTTACTAACGTACAGTACATACTGATGCCGAATACTCTTTTTTTTCTAGTGTGTCTAGTGTGTATGCGAGTTTCTTCTTGTCTCCGTTCTCTTGTCATGTTTAAAAAAAAAAATCGACTCGATTTCTTTTTATTTTATTTTATTTTATTTTATTTTATTTTCTTTATTAATAGATTACTTTTTTTTTTTTTTTTTTTTTTTGTGATAAATCAATAATCAGATAAAATAAGATCAAATAAAGTGAATTTCTGATCCATTATGTGATATAAATTTATCAGTTATTAGCCGTTCTTTAAGTTTATAAAATAAACTGATTGACTTTCAAAGTTTATTTAATACTGGTGCGTGAACACAAGACGAATAATAAATTTGCAACAGGAATTTGACAAAAAAGGTCAAATGATTTTTTTTGCATCTGTTTTCAAAATTGTGTTTGTGTCGCTCGTTTCTTGTACTTGTGTGCCCTCTCTTTTTTTTTTCCCTTACACTGATCATTCCTCCTATTATTACTTACATATTACTATATTACTCAACTAATATATTATATTATATTATACTTACTAATTACTGACTGTGTGTATATTTTGTATAGTAATCAATACTTTTCGATTCAATTGGTTTGGTCTTTTTGTACCGGCACCAATAAAATTTAATTTGACTCAAACAATCTTAAATGATATTTTTCGATGTTTATCTCTATTCTGTCTGATGTCGTTGTTGTAACGCTGCTACTTTATTTAATTTATATTTACCGACTTTCCTTCTTTCCTTTATTTTTATTTATTTATTTATTTATTTTTTTTTTTGATCTATATATTGTATTTTAGTTTACCTTATTATATATATATAATATTAATTTCTATTAATACTCTATTAATACACGGTTAACCAACAGACCATGTTCGTTAATATAAACCACCTTTCTTCCACTCCTGACCATCCCTTTCTTTACTCTTAATTGCATATTATCGTACAGATTACGGGTGAATATATATATTATATACTTTTTTTTTTTTTTTTTTTTTTTTTTTTGATATATATATAGCGTCCTTCCTGTTCCCGGGCTATCTTCAATCGAATCGTCTTCGAATCAAAAAAAATAATATAAACGCAGGCAAAAAGCTTTTATTGTCTGCCAAAAAGAAAGATTCTTTCAAAAATAATTCTTGACTTAATCTTTAATTACTTTTGACAATTCACACATTAAATCTTATATATATATATATATCCTCCCTCTTGTATATTCTTCTCCCCCTATTCGCATAGACTAAAATAATAGACTCATAAACTATAATAGAAACTATTTGTAGCGAAAAGAAAGGCGAAGACATTCTGATACATTGCTAATAACCTGAATTTTTTTTTTTTTTTTTTTTTGTATAAATTAATAGAATTTTTTTTCGCTTCCATCTATCTATCTATCTGAAAAAAAAAAAAAAAATCTTCACACGCCGAAATCGTGAATAATAAATAAAATACTTTAATTTTATTCCATCAATATTTATCTAATCCTTGTTCTTACGCCCCTTTTCAAATACGATTTTCTCCTCGTGTTCGGCTACCTCCTTTCCGCTACCGAAACTGACTAATAAAAACACAAAGGAACAATAGTATCATTATAAAAAAAAAAAAGAGTTTTTTTTTTTTTTGAACGGGATAAACCTCTTTTTTTTAAGTAAAACACCCCCCCCAAAAAAAACAGGCAGACTTTACTCGGACTAATCCACTTTATTTTCGGTACGTATATTATTAATTCTTATCACCTGTTTTTGGGTTGCCCTATTTATTAATTTTTGCACGACAATCCTTATTATGTATAAGATTATATAAATAATAAAGATTCTATAAATATAATTTCTTTTTTTTTTTTTTTTTTTCTTCAAGAAAAAAAAAGAGAAATTTTTTTTTTTTCATTCATCGATTTCTTTCACTTAATAATATATATATATATATACATACATACACATATATATATACATATATATATATATATAAAAAAAAGAATCAACAGTCATTTTTTTTTTCTCGCGGTTATTATTTACTTTTAACAGGCTCTTTTTCATTCATCGTTTTCGCGGTTTCTCTTAAAGTTTTTTTTTCATTAATAATATTCTTTTTATTACAGGTGTGTATTTAGGCCGTATTTGTCGCCCCTAGAAGAAATTTATCGGGTCTTAATTCTTTGGGTATCTATACAGTCATCACTTTACCTATATCAGAAACCATATCCCCCTTATTATATCCCTTCCTCCGTATATAGAAATTTTTTTCCTTAAACTCCAACCAATCCTATTACATACAATTTTCTCACGCCACAATTGAACTACAAGTCCGACCAACCAAAAATCTCTGAATACCAACAACTGCAAAAGACTTACTCCTGTCCGGCTGGTTGCTGAAAAATATAAAATTCAAACAGAACAGATTGGCGGTACATACAGACGCTTACATAGACATTATACGCGACAACTTTTCATTTATGGCTGGTTTCCAGAATTCAAATAAGATTTTCACCGATTCATCTAACACCAATCCTGCATTAACAACTGCCAGCACTCACTACTCAGCACCTCAACACCCAACTACGCCGACTTCCCCGGCTCCTTCGCTCTCTAAAACCACGACGTCTCCAAACAAGTCAAACTCTCCTCGAAATATCAGCATAACCTCCACCACGTCGACAAACACGCAACCTTCAAACAATAACTCCTCCAGCACCCAGAACTCTACTGCTGGTCCACGTTCGTTAACCTCGACGGCTACTCAAACTCCTCCTTCTGCTTCCGGTCCCCATTCTGCTTTCACTCCATATAACCAGGCTCCACAGCACCCTACTCCGGTAACTACTCCTACTACTACAAAGAACTCTATACCTCAAGAAGCCTCCGCAATGATGACTACTCATTTAGAAAACAATACTAGCACCATGATTTACCCTCAACATCACTTTGCTAACCCAACCACTCACCCTTTCTGGCCTTCTTACTTTGGTGGTGGTAACCCTGCTAACGGTGCTGCTGTCTTATCTGCTAATGGTGGAAGTGCTTTTGTACCTGCTGTCGGTTACGGCAGTGCTGGTTCAGGAATGGCTCAAGGTCATACTCCTCGCCCTAAACTTACCACTACCATATGGGAGGACGAAGGAACTTTATGTTATCAAGTTGACGCTCGTGGTATCTGTGTGGCTCGACGACAAGGTATATATTATATATATATATATATATATATTTAATACCTTTTTCAAAGATCTAAACACGCGCATTATTCATTCTATCAATTATTATTTGATGATTTGAATACGTGACATAATATTTGATCATCTGATATCTTTTAATAACGTCAACCACAACTGTTGATCTTTACTTAATCTTTATTTAATTTTATTACCCTCACTCCCGGTGTTTGTTTCTTTTCCCGTAGATAACGATATGATCAACGGAACAAAATTATTAAACGTTGTAGGAATGTCACGTGGTAAACGAGACGGTATTCTTAAGAACGAAAAAGGAAGAGTTGTTGTAAAGGTTGGGGCTATGCATCTCAAAGGTGTTTGGTAAGTTTTCTTTTAGACTAAATTGTTACATCTTCTATTACGCCTTATTTGTGGCGGTTTTTTTTTTTTTTTTTTTCTTATCATCTTTGATATTTGTTTGATCTTGTGTTCATCTTGTGACTTGATCCGTTCTGTGATCTTACATCTTGATGATCATCTTCTTGGATCTTTCAAATCTTGAACATTATTATTATTATTATTATTATTATTATTATTATTAATTAATTAATAATAATAATAATATAATATAATATAATAATATATATAATATATATAATAATATATAATAATATATAATATAATATTAATAATATTAATAATTAATCATAGGATCACTTTTCAACGGGCAAAGACTCTTGCCGCCCAATTCAAGATCAGCGAACTGGTAAATCTAAATTTTTATATTATATATTAACAAAACACGTTTGACTCTTTTCAACTAAAACTAATGAAATTAATTTATTTGTTTTACTTAGCTCTATCCTTTGTTTGTGGATGATCCTAGTATATTCCTTCATAATTCTTATGGACCATCAATGTCAACTAGAATTCCATCTATAGGTAATGGACCACAATCTCAATGGAGACCTACTCACCCCTATGCAAATAATTTCAACAATACTCCATATTCAACTGATGCAACGCGACAATGGTATCCATATGGTAATGGTAATCAAATTATGGGAAATCCTAATGTACCGCAAGGTCAAGATCATGGTTCATCTCCGTATCCACCTGCCACTGGATATGCTGAACGTCCTCAACATGTCGCTAATCCACCTGCTGTTCCAATATATTCGGCTCAACCACCAAGAAATCATAGCCATCCTCAAACTCATTTAGAAGATTATGATGCTGGTTACAGCCTAATAAACGGTCAACCTCAAGGACAGCAAGGTGTTTCTGTGGTTCCTGGACCGGCGGTGAGTGGTTGCAATCTATTAAGGAATGCGACGACGCCTAATTATTACAACAGACTCCAAACACACTTTATGTGAAAGTTCCTACCGATTTTTAACGTAAAATTTTTACAATAATAATAATTAATTAATAATAATATAATAAAAGTCTGAGGAAAATCCCGGTAATAACGGTTACATGCGATCTAACAATCAAGGTCTCTATAATATTGTCTCGGCCACCGATGTGTCAGGAAGTCCCGCTCAAAGTGCTTCACCGCAACTTATTGGTCAAAAAAGAGGTTTCGTAGGCGATGATAATGATGATGAATATAATAATGTCAATAATTCGAATCAACCAAGTCCCCCACTTGCTATGCATCCTCCTCCATTAAGCAGTATTGCTGTTAGTGCTGCTGTTAATGCTGCTGCTGGTTCTTTTCCAAGTCCTATGAATGTTAGCTCAAATTCTTCTCCTAATAATTCTGCTTTCTCTGGTTGGAATCATTCCGGAAAACGAGTAAAATACGAATTTCCTGAAGCAACGACTCCATCATCATCTCAGTCTTCACCAAGGATCAGTACTGCCGGTTATCAATTACCGGGTCTAGGTGCTGGTACTGCTACTCCAGGTGCAAATCCATCCACACCACAAGGTTACCCTAATAGTAATCTTCAAATGGTAACAAATGCACAACAGGCATGTCCATAATTATCCTAAAATGTGATCCTAAATTTTCACCAACTGATGGTTTGAGTTGTTATTTTGAATAGAACACTGTGTTACATACGCCGTCCCCAGATGGTACACCTGTAGAAGAATCGAACTCAATTGGTAGACGTTATGATCAATATCGACAGCGAGAAGATCATACTTCAACGGAAGAAATCAGCAATAGTGGTGGTTGGGATTAGATATATAATATTTAGACTTTCAATTTTATATATATATATATATTACGTCTTTATGGTAAAACTTTTTAACGGGCACTTTTGTTTTTTTTTTTTTTTTTATTCCTAGATAAAAATTATAAATTTTGTATAGTCTTTTTATGCTCGTTTTTTTTTTTTCTCTTTTTCTTTTCTGCATTTACTTTTCTTTCTTATATATAAGCTTTTTTTTTAAAAAAAAAATCAACAAACATTTGCGTTTTTTTAGTTTTTTTTTTTCTTTCTACACAACAAATCATTAGGTTTCTCTCGATGGACTTTAGAATTATTTTTCTTGATTTTATATTTAGACAAAATGGAGAGAGAAACAAAGGTAGAAACAGGAAAAAAAAAAAAAAAATTTACAAGATAAAAAAAAAAAAATTACTTTGATTGTGAATTTTTTAAGGAAACAATTACTTGGGTGGGAATTTACAAAAAAAAAAAAAAAAAAAAAAATCAATATTTTTTTTTTTTTTTTTTTTTTTTTTTTAAAATAGTTTTTTTTTTTTTTTTTTTTTCCCGTTTTTATTTCCCCCATTCATTTTT